GACCGCTGACTCCACAATTTGGCTCTTTGCAAATGATCAGATATTGGCAATTTTATACATTGAAACTAAAACTAAATCTCTTCACTCCATTCTGTGCTCTGTGCTAAATATCCAGAGCAAAATACCTTGACTTGTTTTATTGTCTAAGCAATCTATAAATTGTTTATCCTACTCCTAGAGAATGTTAAAAAGCTAATGATTGCCCCTAAAGAGAGATGATCCATCTCAAAGGAAGCCAATGAGAAAGGGAAGAGCTATTTGAAAGTACTTTTATATTAAAACTGGGAGCTAGCTTCTGAGTAAAAAGCCACCAGTACACAATGAATCTTTCTCTGGAAAAAAGGCAAAACTGGTTGCTGAATAATTTGGAATATCTATCTAGCTGTCTATATGAGCTCTGTGCTTAAAATATTAAGGAAATTAAGTATGGGATATAGAATATCGACATCATATACATTTGAAAAGACCCTGTGGGTGGAATGAGTGCTGAGTGGCTCTGTTTCTGGGCCTCTGTGAGCCTTTAGGGGCTCACCACGCCTCTCTAGACTGTGCTCCTGGGGGGAAGTGAGTGGGCTGGACCAGGTGACCTTTCAGGCATCTCGTCACGCTGAGCGTTTCCACCGCAGGTCCGAGCTGCTGTACATTCCGTTTGGGGGTTGCTCCATGACGGGGAAGTAACAGGGGTTGGGGAATTCCCAGAATACATGGACACAGTATATACGTGTGTGTATAAATAAAATATTTGCAACACACTTAAGAAATGATTAATATCCTTAATTTCTAAAAAGATTTTAAAAGTCATTAAAAAATGATGACCACCTTGCTAGAAAAGTAGGTACAACCAATGATTTATAGATGAGATTGGGCAAGTTCAGGGGTGTATGGCTGAAGGTATAAGCCAATGATTTAGAAAAGAAAAAATATGCATAGTCAAAAAACAGATGAGAGAATTTTAATCGTCACCAATCATACATGAAATGTGAATGAAAACAAGTCAAATTGGCAAATATTATACCCTATGAATGTTGACAGTGTGGTGAAATGACAGTCTCATACCTGGCTTGTGAAATATAAATTGGTCCAATTGTTCATCTCTTTTTTTTCAGTAATTGTACTCACATCTATTTAGCCTAAAGAAATAATCATATATTTATATAAATTTACATTAAAAATGTTCACTCGGCTGGGTGTGGTGGCTCACGCCTGTAATCCTAGCACTTTGGGAGGCTGAGGCGGGCGGATTGCTCAAGGTCAGGAGTTCAAAACCAGCCTGAGCGAGACCCCGTCTCTACCAAAAATAGAAATAAATTAATTGACCACCTAATATATATAGAAAACATTAGCCAGGCATGGTGGCACATGCCTGTAGTCCCAGCTACTCCGGAGGCTGAGGCAGTAGGATCACTGAGCCCAGGAGTTTGAGGTTGCTGTGAGCCAGGCTGACGCCACGGCACTCACTCTAGCCTGGGCAACAAAATGAGACTCTGTCTCAAAAAAAAAAAAAAATGTTCACTCAGTGTTACTGCAGTAAAAATTAGGAACAATGAAATATCCAACAATAGGTAATTGGTTAAATACATGATGCCATGTTTGAAGAATCTCGATATAGAAAACATTTGTGATATAAATGTTAAATCTAAAAAAGCAAGATGCCAAACTGTACACAAAGTATGATATTAGTTTTGAAAAAAAAGTGATACACTGCATAAAGAAACAGGAAATGATACACTACTACCGGTATTTTACAAGTTTTGGTTCTAGGTGTTAGTTGATTTTTGCCTTTTCCTTCACTTCAGTGTTTTCGAAATGTTTTATAATGTATGTGTACTACTTTTATAATCAGAAAATAAGGGCATGTAGAAACAGTCCGGAGAGAACGAGGAGAGGCTGGCAGAGGGGAGGCCGCTCGCAGGCTGGGCCGCAGCGTCAGAGGTGGCGGGCGGTCGGGTCAGGCGGGCCGGCTGGGCTCCTGGTCCTAGGTCGCTCGAGAGCGGGGAGGGCTCTCGGGCTCAGTGGAGGTCACAGGAACAACTGGTTTGTCCAAGACCCGCCTATTCTTAGACAAATGCCTTTGTTGTGATAAGTAGCACAGAAAAGAATGTGCTTCTAGCTAAGCGTTTCACGTTCTCGGGAGAGCAAGACCGCCCTTGCTGTGCCCACCTCTTCCCTCCCGCTCATCCGGGAAGCGCGGCCTTGTCCTACGCAGCCCCTGGCGCCCCTCAGGGCTCTCTGGGTTCCGCGGCACCCCAGTGGGAAGCGCCGTCGGGCCTCGCAGCCCTGGCTCCCTCAGCGACCCCGTCTTGCCAGCGCCTTCTTCCCGGCCCAGGCCTGTGTGTCAGCTCCGCCTCGGGGTCGCTGGCGTCCCTCTCCCTCGCCCGTCGCACAGCGCGCCCGGACGCCGTGCCCCCAGGAGCCCCGCCTGCGCCCTGGCTTTGCCCGCCGCGGCCGGCCCGCCCTGCCGGGGACAGCCCTCCAAGCCCTCCGCGGCCCGCCCTGCCCTGCCGGGGACAGCCCTCCAAGCCCTCCACAGCCGGCCCGCCCTGCCCTGCCGGGGACAGCCCTCCAAGCCCTCC